GTTAAAAAGTTCCCAAAACCCTGGCGTTGCAAGAGCCATGCTCTACCAACTGAGCTACACGGGACATCAAAAGTTAAAACATTTTAAAAACAGCGATTTTCAAACACTGAGATTCCCGGTGACCTGGGGAGTAAGAAAATACCTCCCCTCTGGTTAGAAAGTTGTTGCAGGTTTTTAAAATCACAGTTTTTCTTACTTTTAATCATACCCCGTGATGACACAGAGAAGCATTTTGTAGGACCTTATTTCTTATCACAGATCATAGAAACACGCCGTTTTCACATACACTACAAGGCCAGAAGTATTGGACACCCCTTCAAATTAGTGGATTCGGCTATTTCAGCAACACCCCTTGCTGACAGGTGTATAAAATCGACCACACCGCCAGGCAATCTCCATAGACAAACATTGGCAGTAGAATGGCCCGTACTGAAGAGCTCAGTGACTTTCAACGTGGCACCGTCATAGAATGCCGCCTTTCCAACAAGTCAGTTCGTCAAATTTCTGCCCTGCTAGAGCTGCCCCTATTAACTGTAAGTGCTGTTATTGTGAAGTGGAAACCTCTAGAAGCTACAACGGCTCAGCTGCGAAGTGGTAGGCCACACAAGGTCACAGAACAGGACCGCTGGGTGCTGAAGCATGTAGCGCGTAAAAAATGTCTGTCCTCAGTTGCAACATCACTACAGAGTTCCAAACTGACTTTGGAAGCAACGTCAGCACAATAACTGTTTGTCGGGAGCGTCATGAAATGGGTTTCCATGGCCGAGCAGCCGCACAGAAGTCTAAGATCACCATGCGCAATGCCACGCGTTCTCTGGAATGATGAATCACGCTTCACTATCTGGCAGTCCGACGGACGAATCTGGGTTTGGCGGATGCCAGGAGAACGCTACCTGCCCCAATGCATAGTACCAACTGTAAAGTTTGGTGGAGGAGGAATAATGGTCTGGGGCTGTTTTTCATGGTTCGGGCTAGGCCCCTTAGTTCCAGTGAAGGGAAATCTTAACGCTACAGCATACAATGACATTCTAGACGATTCTGTGCTTCCAACTTTGTGGCAACAGTTTGGGGAAGGCCCTTTCCTGTTTCAACATGACAATGCACCGTGTACAAAGCGAGGTCCATACAGAAATGGTTTGTCGAGATCAGTGTGGAAGGACTTGACTGGCCTGCTCAGAGCCCTGACCTTAACCCCATCAAACACCTTTGGGATGAATTGGAATGCCGACTGCGAGCCAGGCCTAATCGCCCAACATCAGTGTCCGACCTCACTAATGCTCTTGTGGCTGAATGGAAGCAAGTCCCCGCAGCAATGTTCCAACATCTAGTGGAAATCCTTCCAAGAACAGTGGAGGCTGTTATAGCAGCAAAGGGGGGACCAACTCCATATTAATGGCCATGATTTTGGAATGAGGTGTTTGACGAGCAGGCCATGTAGTGTATGTAGACACTGCTATGATGCTGGAGATAATGAATATGAGATTGAAAAGTGGCGGAATGGCTCTTTAAGGTCAGGCTTTTATTGGGAAGGAAGTGAAAGGGGATACCTAGTCAGTTGCACAACTGAATGCATTCAACTGAAATATGTCTTCCTCATTTAACACAACCCCTCTGAATCAGAGAGGTGCAGGGGTCTGCCTTAATCGATGTTCAAGTCTGAACCTTCCATTTTAGATTGTAAATACACTTATTTCGTTTCCTGTCATGAATGATACATGTTATGTATAACAATTTAGTAGATCAGGATTTATGCCACTCATCTACAAAATGTTAGAGAATTGAGAACATTGTTTTTACTGTGTCATGGTGTCATGATGCAACAGACACAGACAGTACAATGCAACTGTTGTCTTTGATTCAACTGGCCCCTATAATCTGTGCTTCATCATAAACACATCTTGACTGGTCTCCCTGCCTTTCATACAGCCCTATTTATTATACGCAATGACCTTATTTATACACACAATTGCCGTGTGTTCCCACTTGGGAAGGGGATAGGGTGTTGGAGAGACAGGACGCAGAGACAGGATAACTAATGAGTAGCTTGCATCGATGGTAAGATACTGGATGGATGGTAGGGTCAATCAAAACCTGAATGTTAATGAACTCAAACTGTTAAATGTAATGATTTTAGCTAGAAATTTGCTTTTTTTTATGGTGTGAGAGGTGGTGATGATCAGTTCACTGAATGATTCAGTGATATCATGTGTGTAAATTGTATTATATAGTTAATTGTTGTACACTTAAACTTTGTGTTTACCTTGATGAACACAGAAGAATGTTTCTCTGTGATAACTTGATTGACCAATGAATATGTGTTATATACATTTTATGTGGCGCAGCGGTCTAAGGCACTGCATTTCAGTGCTTGAGGTGTCACTACAGACCCCCTGGTTCGATTCCAGGCTGTATCACAACCGGCCGTGATTGGGAGTCCCATGGGGCTGCGCACAATTGGCCCAGCGTCGTCCGGGTTTGGCCGGTGTAGGCCGTCATTGTAAATAAGAATTTGTTCTTAACTGACTTGCCTAGTTAAATAAAGGTAAAATAAAAATAAATAAATAAAAGGGAGGGTATGACATTTTCTAAATATGTGCAATTTAGACATTGAGAAGATTAATAATTTACAGTTGTTAGAATACAGGAATGACAAGACCGTTTAGAGTTGATGTATCGCAATTAAGCATAGGATCCACTGTACATCACATCTTCACACCAGAGGAACCTGACCAACTGTAGCCCACAGAGTACAGAGGGACCAACCAGTCACATCATGATTGAAGCTGACCGAGAGCTAACGGTCATGGTGCAGGAAATACAGTGGGGGAAAAAAAGTATTTAGTTAGCCACCAATTGTGCAAGTTCTCCCACTTAAAAGGATGAGAGAGGCCTGTAATTTTCATCATAGGTACACGTCAACTATGACAGACAAATTGAGAAAAAAAAAGACACCTGTCCACAACCTCAAACAGTCACACTCCAAACTCCACTATGGCCAAGACCAAAGAGCTGTCAAAGGACACCAGAAACAAAATTGTAGACCTGCACCAGGCTGGGAAGACTGAATCTGCAATAGGTAAGCAGCTTGGTTTGAAGAAATCAACTGTGGAAGCAATTATTAGGAAATGGAAGACATACAAGACCACTGATAATCTCCCTCGATCTGGGGCTCCACGCAAGATCTCACCCTGTGGGGTCAAAATGATCACAAGAACGGTGAGCAAAAATCCCAGAACCACACGGGGGGACCTAGTGAATGACCTGCAGAGAGCTGGGACCAAAGTAACAAAGCCTACCATCAGTAACACACTACGCCGCCAGGGACTCAAATCCTGCAGTGCAAGATGTGTCCCCCTGCTTAAGCCAGTACATGTCCAGGCCCGTCTGAAGTTTGCTAGAGTGCATTTGGATGATCCAGAAGAGGATTGGGAGAATGTCATATGGTCAGATGAAACCAAAATATAACTTTTTGGTAAAAACTCAACTCGTCGTGTTTGGAGGACAAAGAATGCTGAGTTGCATCCAAAGAACACCATACCTACTGTGAAGCATGGGGGTGGAAACATCATGCTTTGGGGCTGTTTTTCTGCAAAGGGACCAGGACGACTGATCCATGTAAAGGAAAGAATGAATGGGGCCATGTATCGTGAGATTTTGAGTGAAAACCTCCTTCCATCAGCAAGGGCATTGAAGATGAAACGTGGCTGGGTCTTTCAGCATGACAATGATCCCAAACACACCGCCCGGGCAACGAAGGAGTGGCTTCGTAAGAAGCATTTCAAGGTCCTGGAGTGGCCTAGCCAGTCTCCAGATCTCAACCCCATAGAAAATCTTTGGAGGGAGTTGAAAGTCTGTGTTGCCCAGCGACAGCCCCAAAACATCACTGCTCTAGAGGAGATCTGCATGGAGGAATGGGCCAAAATACCAGCAACAGTGTGTGAAAACCTTGTGAAGACTTACAGAAAACGTTTGACCTGTATCATTGCCAACAAAGGGTATATAACAAAGTATTGAGAAACTTTGTTATTGACCAAATACTTATTTTCCAACCATAATTTGTAAATAAATTCATAAAAAATCCTACAATGTGATTTTCTGGATTTTTTCTCTCTCATTTTGTCTGTCATAGTTGACGTGTACCTATGATGAAAATTACAGGCCTCTCTCATCTTTTTAAGTGGGAGAACTTGCACAATTGGTGGCTGACTAAATACTTTTTCCCCCACTGTATGGGATGAAGATATCAACACACTAAAAGCAGGGACAGACTACCGGATCTCTCTGCAGGTAGCAAAACTATCCAAACGGGAATACGGTATGTGGATGACATATTTTTTGACGGGATGAATTTGGCCCGAATTTGATTTGATTTGGCCCTCCAAGTTCTCTGAGCAAGAAAAAAATTGTTGGACATAGAAGACTGTAAAAACATCAGCAAATCAGCTCCAAGTGATTTTAATTTAGGAAATCTGTTCCAAAGTATTCCCACGCATAATAGCGAGATATACTGTATGTGAATGTAAACAAATGTAAGCAAGGTTTGAAATGATTATGTTTTAGTCAAATATATCTGTTTGTGCTTCTTGTGGTACAGTTTTTGTCTACAAATTATTTGTAATTATATTCCGGCCCCCTGACCATCCGCTCCAGAAAATAAATGTCCCGTGACTGAATCTAGTTGATGATCGCTGTTCTAAAGGACACAATAGCATGTTAGACACTGTGCCACAGACAGACAAAGAGTGTAAGTCCAGTGAAAACATGTTGTTGTTGGAATCTCCTGACTCATAAACAAATGTGGAGTTGCACCTTCAAAGGGCACAGAGTCATGTTTCATTTCTATCAAGAGGATACAATGTTTCTAAAGAAAAGTGGACAGCTTTATCCCTAGATCATTGGTGGGAATGCTTACACATTTGGAATATGTAACTGATTTGCTCTTCCTCCTCTGCTGTGCTTTGTGCAGGGGAAAGCCAGAACTGTGAATGCTGACATGAATGATGACAATGATGGAGCCGGATATCCTCTATTCTCGTTTGTCGATGAAAGCATTTAAAACATTTTTTTATTTCTTAGGTAAAGGCTTGAGGTGTGAGCGTTAGAGCTTCCATTTTTACGAACTTTTACCTTCAACCGTTTCCTGTGTGTTACCATTATTTTCCTTTGGAAATCCTATCATATCTGCAATGTATTACATACGCAGAGAGTAGCAGGAGTTCAAGGATAATTGAACATGATACAAACACGATGTGTACTGACATCAGTAGGAGTGGATAGACAAAACAAAATATTCCTTTTGTTAGATCAGAACACATGCTACCCTCGAAACGGAACTGCATGTCCTCTTCCAGCCTTTATCTCTCTACTGGATTACTATGAAAGTGAAACCAGTGAACCTGAGACTGTAACCCCAGAGGAGGAAGCAGGAAACCACAAGTTTCTGGACTGCATGCTTCGAATGCCCACCATGAAGGTATCAGTTAAAACATATGGTGAATAGGTTGGCAACAAGAATACTGTATATTTATTTACTCTGGTGAGTAGGAACATAAGTCAAATCACAGATACATGCGGAAAAAGTTAAAACCATTTTAATGTCACATCAATTCACAGGGAGAACCATGGCCAAGTTGGGACCTTACAAGCTAAAGTGAGTCAATCAACACCCCATGATTGAAATTGTCTCCATATGTTTCTATCATTTTTAGATTGCACATAAGTACCTAGTAGAGAAACAGCTCTCCCCAGAGGTTATTACCGGAATTCAAGGAGCAGCTCTACCGTATCTGGTTTGAGCTGTATGCCAGACGAGAAGCTAGTAAGTGGGTAAAACTATCCTCTTATGTAACTGTTACTTTTCAGAGGTCAAAATAGTTCTTAATTAGGCTGCTAAATGTTTTATCTTCCCTGGTTAGGGTTATGTTTGTTCAATGTGAAATCCATTCACAATTAAAGAAGGCTGTATTGTCACCTCAGTCTCTCATTTATTTTGTCTTGATGCCAGTCTTTTCAAATGGCATACAGTTTGGACTTACATCTCGAGACTTGGACTGACTCAAGGCTGACTCAAGACACATATCTGATGAATTGAAACTTGACTTGGCAGGAAAGAAAATAACTTGAGACTTGACCTGGAGCCTTGAGCCTCGAGACTCGGGACTCGTCTTGAGATTGATGTCTCGAAGTGCTTGTTCTGGACTGTTTCTGTACCGCTTTGTCCGAATTTGATAGCTTATCTTACTATATGACACAATGAAAATGGCCGGCTGCTGTTTCAATGACTAGACAAAATATACTTCTATAGTCATCATTACATCTAGGGAAAATATGACCAATGACTCGAGCTTGAGACTTTGAAAAAAAAACTTGTGACTCCACATGACTTGAGATTACAATGCACGACCATGACTTGAGATTACAATGCACGACCATGACTTGAGATTACAATGCACGACCATGACTTGAGATTACAATGCACGACCATGACTTGAGATTACAATGCACGACCATGACTTGACTTGCCCTTAGCTTTTGTGTATTCCCAGGAGGAGAGTAGTCTATCATTTTCAGTATTATTTTCACTTAAGCTGTATGTTAAACCGCAGATTGTGCTGTAATGTCATCGTGTGCATCACCAAGCAAGTTTTTATTTTATTTTATCAGGATCTCCATTAGCTGACGCCAATGGCGACAGCGAATCTAAGTGGTGGATGCGCTTCTATTACCCTTCAATATCATCCCTTCAGGAAGAGGGTGTAAAACCAGTGGTGTTCTATGTTCTATGTTCCAGCCTCATAATGTTCTCCCATGTTCCTCCAGGCCAGACTCCTCAGGGTTTGAGCATGTCTTTGTCGGAGAGGCCAGAGGGGGCCGCACAGTCATCGGCTTTCACAACTGGATCCAGTTGTATTTGCAAGAGAAGCTGGGAAACATTGATTACAAAGGCTACAGTGTGAATGCAAATTCTCCCCGGGTTAGATTAAAATACTGACAAGATGAATGTATGTTTTGATTATCATGTTGAATCCGATGTGTGACTTTGATGAGTTGACAGTTGACAATTCCAGAGCATTCTTTAGAAATGACGTGAGATATACACCGAGTATACCAAACATTAGGAACACATGTTGAGCGTTGCAGTTCTTGACACAAACCGGTGCGCCTGGCACCTACTACCATACCCCATTCAAATGCATTTAAATAATTTGTCTTGCCCATTCACCCTCTGAATGGCACACATACACAACCCGTGTCTCAATTGTCTCAAGGCCTAAAAATCCTTCTTTAACCTGTCTCCTCCCCTTCATCTACGCTGATTGAAGGGGATTTAACAAGTGACATCAATAAGGGATCATGGCTTTCACCTGGTCATTCTGTCATGGAAAGAGCAGGTGCTCTTAATGGTTTGTATACTCAGTGTATATGTCAAACATACTGAATGACTCTGTCTCGTGGATGTATGTCTTCATTGTTGTCTCTCTCTTCTCCCTTTTATGTGAAAACCAGTCTGATGAGAACAAGCACATCCTGGCGCTACAGTTCAGTTGGAAGAATGGAATAAAACCCAAAGGCAGCATCTTCGTTGGCATCAGTCCTGAATTTGAGTTTGCCCCTTTATACCCTAAGTTTCCTGGTCTCACCCAATGAGCGTGTCAAAGTGTTCTTCAGTATCTATGAGGTAAACATCGTCTGTCACCACTATAACCAGAAGCGTATCGGCACAACCTACCCTGTTCTTGTGAAGTACCAAAACGAAGAAGAAAACTAAAAACACTAATCAAACGTATCAAATACACTCTCATCCAAGTGTCCCAGGTGTTGATTTTGTCTTTTTAATTTAAATAAAGATACAATAAATCTGTAAAAGTGTTATGTTGCTTTATTCATGATTGCTGCACTATTACACAAAAGCTAGATATTGAATGTGAAAGACACAATATCAAGAAGAACTGGCAGCACAGCATGCAGCCTTCAGAGGTAACCTCTGTATCATTTCACCATTCAAGTTTCTGAATAGTGAAATACAGTGAGTAGGCCACACTAGTAATTCTAAGCCAAAATGTACAATAACTGGAATATGGATGGCTATTCTTTAACTGTCAGTGGTATATGCCAGTGTCACAGACAGAAGTGTTAGTTACAAATACAGTGGCGGTTGGTGCCGTTTAAGATGCGGGAGGCCGATAAATTTTTTTAGGAGCATGGCCTTATTTCTATTACAGCATACTGGATGAATGTCATTCATATTCCATTCACCCAGTTCAATGTAACATCGATGATACTAAAATGTTCCCTATACCCACCATTAGGTTGCTACAACCTAGCCTATGAATGAAAGTTTACAATGTAGGTGCACACAGGTCGAGAGAAAGATTTGAGGTGACAGACAGTGACACATGGACATACAGTGACACATACAGTGAGAACCATGAGCCTCCTAGGTTTTGTATTGAAGTCAATGTACCCAGAGGAGGATAGAAGCTAGCTGTCCTCCGGCTACACCATGGTGCTACCCTACAGAGTGCTGCTGAGGCTACTGTAGACCTTTATTGCAAAACAATGTGTTTTAATCAATTATTTGGTGACACGTGAATACATTTTGTATAGTTTTATCTAAAATTGATAACTTTTTTATGTTTTACTATTTTAATTTTTTTATGAAATTCACTGAGGATGGTCCTCCCCTTCCTCCTCTGAGGAGCCTCCGCTGTACAAATATCTTTGCCAGTGTGTTCTGTTGGGGCAGGAGAGTAAAGAGCGTGACCAGGCTGCTAAAAGAGCAAATGCTACCATGTTTTGGAGTATTGACGTCACAAGCTGGCAAGAGAGGGGAGGGACAGTGAGTGGGTGTGGCCTTGTATGCTGATGATGGGGCTGTATGGAAGAGAGGTGGGAATGTGAAATATGTGATGAGGAAGATACAAGAAGCTGTGGGAGTTGTGGACGATTGGTCTTTAACATGGGGGTTTAGCATGTCTGTGGCCAAGTCCCGCTTTATGGTGTATTCTAGGAGAATGGTTAAAGATGTTAGGCTGTAAATATATGGTCAGGATATAGGTAGGGTGTCTGAGTTTAAGTATTTAGGTATGTGGTTTGATGAGAGGCTTACGTGGAAGAGACATGTTGAGCATATTTAAATTAAGTGCATGAAGGTTCTGAACTTCATGAGGGCAGTGGCAGGATATGATTGGGGGTCGTATAGACAAACACTGTTGTATATGTACCAGGCATTGATCAGGTCATCTTTGCGTTATGGGTGCTTTGTGTATGGATCAGCAGCCAAAACGGTACTACAGCGCCTGGACAGGATACAGTCAAGGGCCCTGAGATTGTGTGTGGGTGCCTTCAGGACGCCACCTGTTGAGGCATTGCAGGTGGATAGTGAGTAACTGCCACTGAGGATAAGGTGGGACATACTTGCATTAGAGTACTGGGCGAGGTTGAAAGGGAGTTCAGAAGGACATCCTGCGGTCACGGCAACTGGGGAATACTGAGAGCGAGGAGTGGGTAAGCAGAGGGCGTACTGGTGGACAATTGGCCAGAAGGTGGTAGAATATGGACTGGGGAGAGAGAGAGATAGGGCCGGCAATTGCATTGGGGAACGTTCCTCCGTGGTTGTTTCCGAAACCAAGTGTAGATGTGGACATGATTGATGCAGGAGAGAATGGGGTGAGGACGTGAGACGGTGTGTGGAAAGATATATAGATAATCAGTTTTATTTGTTTTTAAGGCTGTATACAGATGGTTCAAAGGCTACAGTAAGTGGTAGGCTGGGGGCAAGGGTGTATATCCCCGATTTCAATGTTAGAGTATGTAAGCGGGTTAACTGATTATGTGTCAGTGTAAGCGGCCGAGTTGATGACCATGATTATAGGTTTGAGATGGGTGGAGGAGGTGAAACCACTCAGAGCGGTGATCTGCTCTGATTCGGCTGCAGTGTTGAGTAGTGTGAAGACGGGCAGGTCGGATAGGGGAGACTTGTTTGTGGAGATGATGGTGCTGTTAATGGGATTGGAGAGGATGGGAGTGGTGGTAAACTTTTGCTGGGTTCCTGTCCATGTGGGTGTGGAGGGTAATGAGAAGACCGATATGGTGACTAATGCTGTGCTTAGACGAGGGACGCAAAAACCGTCATACCTGTCGGCATAGCGGGACAAGAAAGCAAGAAAGAGGGTGACGGCAAAAGCAAGCCAGCACGACGGTATGCGTTGCTATGGTGATTTCAGTAAACAATCAGTGCACATCAAGATCGGAAAGAAAACAACGCTACGGAAGACGGCAAAAGTTGAAATATTTGAACTTCGGTGGCAAGTCCCATCTACCATGGCGGCTGATGGCATTCACCACCAGCCTCAACGGCATTTACCGTCATGCTCTCATTGAAAACAATGACATCCGGTTTGCCGGCTACCGTCTACCTCGTACCATGTAAACGCGGCATAAGCACAGATAGAACAATGAGACAAGATATTTCACCGGATGAATAAATTTCAAGCATCCGGTTGCCGTTTCCACTCACTACCAAATATCGTAGTGAGAGGAAGCCCAGTGGCCGGCAGTGGCTGGCCGGCAGTGGTTGAGGCTGGCGGTGAATGCCGTCAGCCACCATGGTAGATGGGACTTGCCACCGAAGTTCAAATATTTCAACTTTTGCCGTCTGCCGTGGCGTTGTTTTCTTTCCGATCTTGATGTGCACTGATTGTTTACCATAGCAACGCATACCGTCGTGCTGGCTTGCTTTTGCCGTCACCCTCTTTCTTGCTTTCTTGTCCCGCTATGCCGACAGGTATGACGGTTTTTGCGTCCCTCGTCTAAGCACAGCATTAGTCACCAAATCGGTCTTCTCATTACCCTCCACACCCACATGGACAGGAACCCAGCAAAAGTTTACCACCACTCCCATCCTCTCCAATCCCATTAACAGCACCATCATCTCCACAAACAAGTTTCCCCTATCCGACCTGCCCGTGATCACACTACTCAACACTGCAGCCGAATCAGAGCAGATCACCACTCTGAGTGGTTTCACCTCCTCCACCCATCTCAAACCTATAATCATGGCATCAACTCGGCCGCATACACTGCAGTGGGAGAAGATGGAACGAGATGGATTTTGGCTGACATTCTGCTAATTTACTCATCGATTAAACATTTCATCTCAATACAATTGTCTGTTCCCAAAACTACAATATGTTACAAACAGAGTTTTGTAGACTTTACCCTTTGCCAAAGTAAAAAAATAAATGCTTTGTTTATAAGGCGTTCAAATGCGAATTGAGTTGTTGCACACGCGCACTTCGCAGAGTAGGCGTTCCCCAACGGAAATATGCTAATTAATGCTAGAACGTGCCAATAGGATCTCGCTAGCTCCTGCTTGGCTCTGCCTACCTCATTACTTGTTCTGCCCACTATGGCTCATTTGTTCCCATTTAAAATGACAGTCTGTGGTCTATCTTGGTTTAGTTATAAAGATATTTGGCATAAGTGTGCTGTGAGGAGAGAGGGAGTAGATATTCAGGTCCCGCTGGGCCGCAGGGAAGTCAAGTCCTTGATCTGGGCAAAAGGACTCAATCTTTGGCAAAGGGAATGGGATGCTAGTAGTAAGGGGAGGCAATTTTATCGCGTGCACCGGTCAGTAAAGGAAGAGGTGGGGAGTATGGGATGTAGGAGAGAGGAAGTTGTGTGGAGTAGACTACAGTTTGGGCACACAGGTTTGAATGCGACATTGTGGATGATAAGGAGACATGAAACAGGTATGTGTGATGAGTGTTTAGTGGAGGAAACGGTGGAGCATGTGTTGATATTTTGTGAACTGTATGACGTAGATGGGGAGAGATCATGTGAAAGGGTTACAGAGGCTGGACAGGGTTGGAGTTTGGGTGGTGTAGTGGGGGGAGGAAAGGGGTGTCTAGGGCTCTTTCACTTTCTTGGAGGAACAGGATTAATGAAGATAATGTAATGTAGGTAGGCTGTGATTGACCTCACACTCCAGTACAGTAGGTGGCGGTGTATGCACCTTCAAAGTTGGCTGCGATCAGCCAACCCAATCCCAAAGAAGAAGAAGAAGCGAGGGGAGGGACCTGAGCAGAGACAGCGTCCCGTGGATAGAGTTTACGTTACGGTTATAGCTATAATTTCTGTATTAAATAACGTTGCATTGATGACAATCTAATTGATTTATTGTTTAAATACAAGGATTTGCCTCTGTTAATATCAGGATGGCTGAGCCAAGCGCTAGATACCAGCAGGTGAGTAAAACGTTTGTCGTGTCTTTGAGTTAACGTTGGCAAGTATTAGCTAACAGCAACTAGCTAGTGGTTTGAAAGAAACACTGGTGATGGGTTGGCTCTAACTAGGCCTCATTGTTTTGAATGGCACTATGATTGAAAAGTCAGTTTACAAATTAATATCAACACATGTCATGATGCTTTTATAGCTACATTAAAATGTTAGTCATTGTTTTGTTGTTTAGCAATGCATTTTAGCTAACTTGGTCAACTTTCGTAATGGTAATGTTTCGATAGTGTAGCTAACGTTAGCTAATTATGCTAGCAAACAAGCTAAACTACATTACATTTTACATTTTAGTCATTTAGCAGACGCTCTTATCCAGAGCGACTTACAGTTAGTGAGGACTTGATGTTGGGCGATTAGGCCTGGCTCGCAGTCGCAGTTCCAATTCATCTCAAAGGTGTTCGATGGGGTTGAGGTCAGGGCTCTGTGCAGGCCAGTCAAGTTCTTCCACACTGATCTCGACAAACCATTTCT